GCAGAGACATGCAGATAGGGAGAAGGGTGCTCAAGAAAAGTCAGTGGAGTAGCACTAGCACTTCTTTTCCCTTTTCCATCTAACAAATGTCAATGGTCCTACTGCTATCAGCCATAAAGAACCACTGGAGGACCTTAAGATGAGAGCTGAAGCTGTGTGTAGAGAGGAGGAAATCAGAGGTTGTTCCCCCTTTTTCTATGGGCTACCTCAGATGTGGTGATAGCAGCTACAGTGACACATGAACACACAGGCATATCCTCTTATTCATCACTTTTAGGTACTCAGGGCTGCAGGAGCAGAGAACCATTTGAATTTTAGAAGGTGCACTGGACCCTCCATCAGCTTTTTGATGGGAGAATGATTTTTTCAAATATCCTCTCAATGAAGTTTTTACACTTACAAAGACAGCAGCTTCTGACTTTAGTCTTTAAGAGTACGTCTAAGCTACAAAATAATGTTGACCTAAGATACGTTGTCATGCAGCCTCTCAAATCACTTTTGCATGTCCACACTATGCTCCTAGAGTCAGCAGTGCATGTCCTCTCTAGGAAAGCTGACCCTGTTATGGGATGGCTTCTGAAAGGCAGCTACAGTTGATGTAAGCAATGCAGCATCTACATCGATAGTGCATCAATTTACCTATGTCAATCTATGTGTGACACCTCTTGCAGAGGTGGAGTTATTAAGCTGGAGTAGCTGGTGAGTTACGGAGGCAGGAGCAACAATTTAATATAGATGCTTACAGAGTTAGGTTAATGTAAGCTGCCTTATATCCACCAGGGCTAACTAACTAATTAGGGGCTGGGTATCGGAGTCCAGTAAACCAAGTTTTATTTCTCACTTGAAAAATAAGATGAAATCCACTAAAAAACTTTCTCAGCTTTGGTAAAACCTTTATTTTAGGTTATAATTTAAGAACCATTTGTCTGACACACTTCAGATTTGGTAGGGGAAAAGTCTATAGATATCAGATAAGCTACTGTGAAACAATAGTGGACAAAAGACTGCTGATCATTCACCTCACACCAAAGAAGAGAAGACTGAGCAATCTTCCCTCCCAGCATCTTGAGCTGTGGAGGAATGAAATAAAAATTCCTGTAAAGAAGAAATGGTTATCCCCAATGCTGCTTGGACTTCAGGAAGAGGACAAGATTTCCAAGCATAAACAAGGGATCACCAGAGGTTTAGCTTCAGTTAACCCCAGAAGGCATACAGAACTTGCACATTACAGCAGCTTCGATTACTCTTTGAAATCTAAGACTGTAACTCATTTGCACATGTATGTTTACCTGTTTTAACCTTGTAAATAGCATTTATTTTTCCTAATGAATACATCTAACTGGTAAGATATTGACCGACTTGAACTTATTGTTAGGAATATAGTCTGTCTAATCACTTGGGCTTTTGCCCTGTGCATATGCACCCATATGTTATCAGCTCAATTGGAGGATAAAGGGCCAGATTTGTAAAAAAATTATTTAAACATCCAGCGGGATTTTCAAAACTGCCCATGAACCTAACTCTCATTAATTGCAACATCTACATGCTTTTGAAAATCCCTCTATCTGCTTCATTAGAATCCTGGCCATAAGTATTTATATTTGGTCAAATAATTAACTTGCTTGTTTTCATGTGCCCAGAGAATAACATGGAACCATTTTTTTAAAAAGCAAAATAATTCCTAACATAGCACTTATAAAATATGTTTTATCTCTGATGTTAAATAAATATTTGTAGGACATGATATATTTAACATATATTACTCTGCCAGTTTTAAATATCATTTTAGTTAGTTATTTTGCAAATTTTTCTTGTAATCTCCTCTGTATCTTGGAGACATCTTTTAACCGATTTGTCAGGAGCCACCTATGTAGAGCTTTAAATCTCTTTCCACGTTCAAAGTTTAAAACACTTAGCTATTTCATCCTCCTCCTCTCACACAAATTAAGAGTTTAGCTAAATCCATTCCTGTAATACGATTTCCATAAGCTTCCACAAACCCCTTCTCCCACAAACTGTTTCATCAGCTGAGATAAGATTGCCATTACATATATTTATCCTGCTTCCTAAGTGCTGGCAGTCAGTGAGATGTGCTCTGGAGAGCAAGTGGAGATGTCTGTTTAGCCATTCTTAAAATGACTGCTGGGTCACTTTATTTTTACTAACACCACAAAACCAAGAAGATTTATAATGGGATTACTCCATGTGTCTGACACAGGAGGAAGAGGATTACAGGCAGATTAAATATTGCAATTTGCTAAAGAATAATCATTTCGTATGCAACAGTTATATAACAAAAAAAAAATTCTCTCCACTCCCAAATTACATTTGATAAAACAATTATTTGCTTTCTGAAATTGAAATGTGGTAAAACTTGTTTTGTAGAAACTGTCTAAAGTGAACCAAAACGGAGGTCATTAACTGCTCATATCCAGATCTTTCAGTTATCCCAGATAGAGGGCTTCTACTGAGACTCTGCACCCCTAGTCCACTCCTGCCTTCTCCCTCTCTTCTCCCTCGCTGACCAGACACCTACCCCAGCCTGCTGGTTTTCTTACTATTACTTGGGTAGTGGCAGTGGATTTTTATCCCCAAAATCTAGGTTTTTAAGATTCTGGGTGGAAGCTTTATACCAAAGCCTGGAAAGATAAGGTTTTGGGGTATTTTTGCAGGCCCCCACTTCTGCATTCATCATGCCAGAGTGGGGATTTAGCCTTGACAACTTGATTTTCCTGTAAGTCAGTTGAGAAATCTAGATAACTGAAGTCAACGGAAGAGCTTACAAGGGCTTTTAGGCTTGGGTAACATTTTGTTTATCTGTCTGCCTTGATGTTTATGCTATTATTTCCTGAGGGTCTACTGCTTTGTTCTGTTTGGTATACACTGTCTTCTGGCACTGAAATTCCCACTTCATCTTCAGGCTGTTTTCTCTGTTATGTTTAGCACAGACTCTTTCAATGCTTTTTCAGAGACTACAGACAATCCCTAATTATCCAAGTTTCTAATGATCAAAAATAGGAATGAATTCCCCATATTCAAAACTGATTAAATCCAAGTATCTGCTTGTTTCAGGTGTCTAGTAACATATTTGAATCATCAGTGTTAGCAGTAATGGTGATTCCAGCAACTTCTTTATTTTCTATTTGTGCAAAACATTTTTAGAAGAGGTGACATGAGAAGCATCATGTTTCTGGTCTGCTGAGCCCAATTCCAAATGAAAGAATCTGGCATCTGTACGTCCTTTTAAAGCATCATGAATTAGGGCCGTGAACAGGTAACCAGTTAATTGGTTACCCAGGAGCAACCCCAGTGGCCAGTCCCAGAAGCCAGTGGCAAGCAGCAAGCAGCTTCCCTAGCCCCAGCCCCAGCGCAGGAGCCGGGAGTGGAATCCTGCTTACTCAGTTAACTGGTTAGGTTAACCTAATGTTTAATACGGTTAGCTGATTATTTGGGATTTTACATCCCTATATGATTCCACTGTTGTAAATTCTTATAATTGTATTTTGATTCTCACAATAACTGGTATTTTTTCTTAAAGCCCCATCTGCTGGAGTCATGTGTATACTTAAGAAACTTGGCTTTCCTTCAAAAAACAGTCAACTTCTAGTTCTCATGGTTGCATTAAAATGTGACCCATGGGTTCATAAAACAAAAGCCAAATAAAAATAACCTCCTTCAAATGGGGGGAGGAGGTCTCACTCAAACTTTTAACATTTGAAATTAGCAATATTCTGACACTTTACGTTGTCTTTTTTTCATGTTTTGTTGTTTCTCCCAGCTATGTTTCCCAGTAACAGAATGAAATGTCAAAAATAAAGCAGGCACTATACCTTAACAGAAGCCTCTGCCCCTCCCAGCTGCTTACTCTGTCTGCATTATGCCACTCCACAAATACAGTTTCTGCTAGCAAGGTACTAACGCAATGTCCCCAGCCAATGCAAAAGGGATAAACCATTTGTCAAAGAATAGTTTTATAAAATGATTTATAGCACAGTTTAACCAGGTCTACATATGAAAGCTGCTTTAGGATTTTTCCTACAATTTTCCATATCTTTTCCAAAAATAAATTTCTATGGATGGGACCTTAGAAACACTCACAAATGGAATCTTTACAAACTGGGCCACAATCATGCCAGTGACCCAGACATAGAACTCCTATCACAGGACAGGGAATTTGCTAATTTCAGTGTGGTACCTCACTATCATAACGCCAAATGAAAGGAGAATAGAAATATTCTCTACTTCTCAATCATCACATTTTCCTTAGATCTTTTAGATTTTCTGCAATGATTGTATGAAAGATGCATCTCTTCCAGCAAACCCCCTTTTACCTCTGACAGTCTTTACCAGGAACTGTTGCCTATCTCTGTCAAGTAGTTACTGTGTTCACATCTTTTTAAATGAGACAGGAAAAAGTATATTCTGCTTCCCAATGTACCTTTTCCTGCCTCATTTAAAAAGACGGGAACACAATAACTACTTGACAGAGATAGGCAACAGTGAACAAGCTCACTCATGATAAGTACAATGCAGTGCAGTAGCATAAGGCAAACACCCAAAATATATTATAATGTTTATATCTCTCACCTATTAATACAATTTTCAACTGGTCTGGCATACTAGCATCATCATCATGATTTTTTAAACAAACAGATATCTAATATTTATCCCATTACAGCTTTTTAGAAAACAAGCATATTACAGAGAAAGTCAATGCAAGCAACAACGAGGTAGCTTCCCACTAGTAATTATGCGAGTATGATTTGACAGTGATTTTGATAAACAACATGTAATTTAATTAATCTTGTGCAACTGCACTGCTAACGATTTAAGCACATTATCTGGCATACATAACTTAAAAGAAGCTGCTGCACTAACCAAAATAAAAACACTGATATTAGTTCTCTCTGAATTAGTCTGAACCAATAAATATTTAAAAAGTTTCATTATTGGTAGAGATTTAAGATAAACTGAGAACAGTACTAATTTATGATACTTACAAAGCCATTCCCATCATCATCAAGGAATGGATATGCCTGAAGCAATGCATTGACGACAACATTATACTGCTGACTGTTTGGATATCTGTTCAAACAAGATAAACAAGCAAATATAGGAATAGGTAGCATGTTAGACACTTTTTATTAATTTGGTTTTTTTAAAGACGATATCTCATTCAATTGATAGTGTTCAAAATATTATATATTAAATTGCACATTAAAGGACAAAGACATTTTCCTAAAAGTAATGCCTGGAAAGATCCTTTATCGCTTTAATCCAAGTGCATCATTAAAACCCACAGTCTTTCCACTGACTTTTCTAGCTTTGGATCAATGCCTTTAACCCCATTTAAATTTACAGTTTATAGAGACTGGTCTCCTAGGAATTTTATTGTGCAGTCAGTTGCACCCTCTCCCCCCGCCAAAACAAAAGAATGAATCCAAAATTATTATACTTACAGTGATCCTTCTAAGTATTTTGTCATATCCGCTTGTAAGAATTCAATAATCCTTATTCTCATGCTGTGGTCAGGACATTTCCTTTCTGCTAATATGCACTGGACATCATAAGGAAACTCTGGTAAAACATATGAGTTTGTCCATTGTACTGTTTCACATCTTGCAAAAACATGTTTCATATTTTTTCTGTAAAAAGGAAGGGTTGATTATATCAAAGATTATCGGATGCACAAATAGTTACTTTTTATCCCCCGACTGTGGGAAACTAAGCAAAGGGGAAAAAATAAGTCAGGTATTTTTATAAGAAAGAATATTTTGGCCATACTGATTAGAAACTACGGGTATTTTAGACGTGATCAGAGATGCCTATTATATTTTGCTTTCTCTTGGTTTCTGCTTAAGTTAAGAATAAAGTTCCATACAAAACATAATAAAATCAAACAATGTATATTAAAATAGTTAAATAGTTACATAGTGCCTTAAATCAAGTGCTAGGAGAAAACAACCAAACTTTTTCATCAAATGAATACACACAAAATGCTCTGTGGCACAAAATAACATATATGGATGATAATATTAGTTATTTTAGCAATTAATATTTGGCTCTAATCAGAATAAGCATTAAGCCACAGTTTTAGAAAAAAAAATCAGTAAAGATACACAAGCCTAGACCCTGAAAAGACATCCGTATGTTTAATTTTAAGTATGCCAGTTGTCCCATGGCTTCATTGGGTGCTGTCATGTGCATATCTTTGCACAGTCAAGAGTCTAAACATGTCTACATAAGAACAGCCATACTGCTAAGACAAATGGCACATCTAAGCCCATTTTCCTGTCTTTGGACTATGGCCAATAACAGATGCTTCGAAGCGACTGAACTGCCACAGCGACCAAGTGAACCATCCTATCATCCAGTCCCAGCTTCTGACAATCAGGGACTCGGCGTCAGGAACAATTAGACCATGTGACTGCAACCTTGACCATCTCGGCTAATAGCCATTGATGGACCTTTCCTCCAGGAACATATCTAAATCTTTTTTTTAATCCAGTTATACTTTTGGCCTTCACAACTTCCGTAGGCAATGAGTTCCACAGGTAGATTGTGTACTGTGTGAAGTACTTCCTTTTGTTTACTTAAACCTGCTGTCTATTTCATTGATGACTCCTTAACACTTCCTTATTCACTTTCTCCACATGATTTGTCATTTCATAGATTTAAGTAATATATTCTTCATCATCTAACAATCTGAATAGTCCCACTCTTTTTAATCTCTCCTCATATGGAAGCTTTTCCATCCCCCATATCATTTTTATTGCCCTTTTCTGTATCTTTTCCACTTCTAACATATATTTTTGAGGTACCAAGGCTATAGTTCTGCCATTCATTTATACAGTGCATTTATAAATATTCTAGATGTCCTTAATTGAAATAATTTTTGCTTTTCTTCATTTTAATCATAGTTCTGGGATGGGGATGCGGGGTTGTATGCAGGCTGTCCTGGGAGAGAGGACAACTACAGCCCTGTCACCACAGCAGCTTGTGGCCGGGTGAGAAGTGCCTAGTCATGGCAGCTGCAGCAGGCACAACAAGAGGAGGAGATCATGACCCCCAGCTGGGGGACAGACAGAGACACAGACAGGCACACACAGACAAACTCTCTAATATATAGTAGATAGCTGTTCCTCTCTGCACTCCTGCTCCCTGCTGTCCCAATGGGGTTATAGCAGACCTGGTTCCCATCTCTGGCCCCTTGCTGCCACCATATGATCATTATACAGTATGGCTGTGTCTACACTGGGCCACTTATTCCGGAAAATCAGCCGCTTTTCCGGAATAAGCTGCAAGCTGTCTACACTGGCCCTTGAATTTCCGGAAAAGAAACGATGCTCTACTATACAAAATCAGCTGCTATTCCGGAAAAACTATTCTGCTCCCGCTCGGGCATAAGTCCTTATTCCGGAACACTGTTCCGGAAAAGGGCCAGTGTAGACAGCTCAGTAGTCTTTTCCGGAAAAAAGCCCCGATCGCGAAAATGGCGATCGGGGCTCTTTTCCGGAAAAGCGCATCTACATTGGCCACAGATGCTTTTCCGGAAAAAGGGCTTTTCCAGAAAAGCAGCCTGCCAATGTAGACGCTCCTTTTCCGGAAAAACTGAAAACGGAATAGTATTCCGTTTTAAGCATTTCCGGAAATTCATGCCAGTGTAGACACAGCCTATAACTATCACTGCTAGCAGTCCTCTCCCTTTCTGTTTTATGAGAAACAATCACATTCCAGGCACATCCCATTGTCCTTGCACAACCAAACCCTTACCTTGCTTTGTTAGAAGAGGAAGCTGCAGAACAAATTTGGTAGTCTTAGCTCTTGCTGTTTAGTAGTTCTTGAACCAACAGTCTAACAAACAAGACTGATTACTTTATTTAAGAGCCTTTGGTGAGGGACGTCATCAAAGACTTTCCAAGAGTAGAAATATATTATACTCACTGGATTGCCCCTGTCCAAGGTTGTTCATCTCCTCCAAAGAATTCTAACAGATTGGTGAAGTATGGTTTCCCTTTACAAAAGCTCCATTAACAGAGAGTTTTAGGAATAATGGAAGGTAACTTAGAAGTAGATTGCCTTTGTTAATTCAAAGACGTTTTGTGCTAACGTCACAGAAATTTAGTAGTTGATTCATTGTAATCAGTTAAGGAACAGGAGAATAAAATAGAGCAGACTGAGGTTTGGCACATACAGAACTTTTGCTTCTAAGGCCACAGCCAAAATTTGTAGTGTAGATATCACAAGTTAAGTCTGCATAAACCACAATTAGTGTCTCGCTCATGCGTATACATACTTGGCTCCTTGCACCAGTGCCGTACATACTCAACATGGGTGCCTGTCTCAATGTATACTAGAGTGCCCCAAGAGTAAGTAACCCAATGTGCAACTTGCCATCATCTAGCACAATGTCTTTTGGGAAGTTTGGACAATGCATGGTAGGGAAGATCATTTGGAGATAACAGGGAGAGCAAGGAGTCTATTCAAAAATCCCATGAAACTATGTGGCCTTCCTCACTGTCCACCTATTCTTAGAGGCATGGAACCTCCACAACTTGGCACTCGTTTCATGAATGTTACAAGCACATGACACATGATCCTCTGGTATTTAGAGAGGTGCAAGAACCGCATTGATGGAGAACATGGTAATTTTATAGAGAACAGACTGCTGTGGGAGATAGAGAAAACCAAATCAAGGCAGTTGGTAAAGTTCACATAGCAGTTGCCGATGGCATAGAGCCATATATGAGCCCAAGAAACAAGCGGGATCACACTATAAATGCAGGATTGCTATGATGAGCAGTGGCTGCAGAACTTTTGTATGCAAAAGGCCATCTTTCTGGAACTGTGCGCGAAGCTTGCCCCAAGCCTCCAGCACCTGGTCCGCAGTATGAGAGCTGTGCTGACAGTGGAGAAATAAGTTGTGGAAATCTTACAATGACACATTTCTATAGGCCAGTAGGAAGTAGTTTTGGAGTTGGAAAATCCACTGTGGAAGCTATTGACATGCAAGCATGCAGGGTCACTCCTAATCCTCTTCTGCTACACAATAATGTTCAGAAAGGGCAACTTTTCTGTGGTTATGCAAGTGTTGTTTGATAAAGGGATGCTTCAACAAAATCAATGTTGGCTGCTCAGGAAAGGTGCATGATGCTTGCATCTCTAAAAGCACAGGGCTGTTCAGAAATGCAAACAGATAGAATACCATTGGTCACATTGAAAACCAAGGATGACCCAATCTATCCCTTGCTCCCTTGGCTCATGAAGCTGTACACTGCCCTCCTCAATAGCATCCAGGAAAGATTCAACCCTCAGCTCAGCAGTTGCAGAATGACAGCTGAATGCACTTCTGGTAGGTTGCAGAGATGTTGGTTTGTTTACTCACAAGATTGGATCTTTGTAAGAAGAACATTTCAATGGTTATAGCTGCCTGCTGTGTCCTGCAGAGTAAAAGGGGGAAAGTTTCCAATGGAGTGGAAGCAGAGGAAGCATCTGCTCAGTCTGAACAGCTAGACACAAGGGTTTTTAGAAAAGCTCAACAAAGAGCTGTCCAGCTCAGGGAGGCCTTGAAAGAACACTAAGAACAAGCCACAGTAATGTGTGGTAGTGTACAAGGCTCCACCTGCAGGTCTGGGGCCTGTTAGAAACTAGTTGCTTATTGTTGCACATCTACGAATATAACACTGTCAATAGACCTATTGTTTTTGTGGAACTTGCTGTACATTTACAATGATTACATTGTGTTTGTTACTGATCCTATGTGCTGTGTCATAGTGCTCAATAACAAGTTCTTTCATTATCACTAGGCATTCTGCAGCATAGTTTGGGAACTAATTAAAAATTAATTATTTTCCAAAAAATATTTTATTGAGTAACAAAGCAAGTGCCAATACAATAAAATCTGTACAATTTAAAAGCAAATACATTAAAAACTTAATTAATGGAAAATAACATACATATCCATTTTGGCTACATATACAGCAATTGTAGCTCTTTCTGGTCAGTATATGTGAAGCAATGCTTGTCCTTATCATCCCACAGTGGAGTGGTCGGGATGTGAGCCCTGATGTCACGTGGCATGATAAGGGAAGGTATAGGAAGGTGCTACAACGAAGTTCTCTGTGGACTGCAAAGAAAGGCAAGTTTGTCACTGTTGAACTGTAGATCCACAAGCATACACAGCATCTGAGTTTGCTGCTGGAGAAGCGTCATTATGTCCTGGTGCACCTCCCTCACCTTTTTCCTGCTGTGACTTTCTCCTGTTCTCTCTTTCCTTCTCCATGCCCTCTGCTCATGGTCTGAAGCAGCACAGGCTTGCAGGACCTCACTGATGTCATCCCAAGTCGTCTTCTTTTTCCTCCTTAATGGTCTCTGGCATTCCAGGGTTGTGGAGGGGGGAATGAAAGGCCACGGTGGCAACAGCTACACACAAAGGACAGAGGTACCATGATCAATAGAGTCACAATGGAAAGCAAAAGCTACAATTCAGAACTCCCTTCTCTCATGTCCCTAAAGTTTAAACAAGATGAACTTATTGACACTTCTGCTTGAGGAGCCCCTTCAGAGCACATGGCCCACCAGAGGGGAGGGAAATGAGGAGAGAATTGCTTACAGCATGAAACTATGAATACAGGGCAAGGGCAAT